CCCTGTCCCTGGTTGGGCGCCTGCAGGAGGCAACCAATCAACATGTTTCTCTCACATCGATGTTTCTCTCTGTCTTTCCCTCTCTCTTCCATTCTCTCTAAAAATCAGTGGAAAAATATCCTTGGGTGAGAATTAACAACAACAACAAAAAGACGTGGTTATTCAGGGGTTGGCTGGTCTGACCTGGGAGTCCCCCCTGTGCATCTCCTCCCTCTTCAAACTTCATGGGTAGGTCATTTATCTACTTGGCAAAAAAGGATTGCGACATCCTATCAAATCTGAGAAACCTATCTACTTCCTTCTCTTTCCATTGATCCAGCGATTCCTCCCAGTGATGTTTATGGTCCTCGCATTACCAGTGGCCACGCTGCCCGACTCTCATGGCACTTCATTGTCCGGAAAAATGCGTGCGACCACAGCGATGACCTAGAGAGATGCATACATGCATTCCTTTTAGCCCAAATGGACCAGGACACCTACAAAACCGTGTTTTCTACCCCAGATGCAGTGGTTGGTGCTGGGGTATATGGCGCTGTGTTCTCATCCTGTTCTCTCCCTGAAGCTGAAATGAAAATTCATTGCTCTGAAAACTGGTTATTTAATTTTTTAAAAATTCTTTTAATACATTTTTATTGATTTCAGAGAGGAAGGGAGAGGAAGAGAGAGAGATAGAAACATCAGTGATGAGAGAATCACGGATCGGCTGCCTCCTGCACGCCCCACACTGGGGATCGAGCCCGCAACCCGGGCCTGTGCCCCGACCGGGAATCGAACCGTGACCTCCTGGTTCCTAGGTCAACGTTCAACCACTGAGCCACACCGGCCAGGCTAACGCTGCATTTTAATCGGCACCGACAAGGTATGCCGCAGGCTGGGTTTTGTTCAGCCTGTTAGCAGGCAGAATTATTTTACACTGTAGGACGCCGTCGTGTCGTTCCCCAACCAAGAAAACAAACAAAACAAAAAAAGCAGAACTAATTGAGATCGTCATATCTCAATAAATATGCAAATGAAAAAAAAATCAACACAAAGAAATTGTATTTATCACATCATAAAGCTGCAAATCGCTGTACCGGCTGGCTTGGAGGCATTGCGAGGGATGGAGGCTCCTTAAGGGCTTTGCTGAGAGACTGTTAGAGAGCCGAGCCTAGGGGTTTGTCTCTGAGGCGGAGGAGGAGGATGAACTGGCCGGGATCACAGTGTTTTCAAGCCTCATTCCCAACGCTGTGGGGAGGCCAGGGGCGTAGAAATTCATGTGTGTTCATTTGCCTCGTGATGTGCAATGACATCAGTTCTCCTTCACGTCGTTTCAAGAACAAAGCTAGTAACGTGCCCATTTCACAGAGGAAACTCAGGGAAGGCGACCTCTGAATGTGTGTCTACAGGATATCGAGCAGTCAGGTGAACAGGGAGAATCGAAACCAATTTTCAGTGTTTTCCCCGTGCATTTCCCACAGCTGAGTATCAGGAGTCACCCTGTTGATGGAAGCATAGTTTGATTTCTGCATAGTATTACTTATTTTTTTAAAAACATTTTTATTGATTTCAAAGAGGAAAGGAGAGGGAGAGAGAGAGAGAAACATCAACGATGAGAGAGAAAATCATGGATCGGCTGCCTCCTGCACGCCCCCTACTGGGGATGGAGCCCGCAACCCGGGCATGTGCCCCGACTGGGAATTGAACCGTGACCTCCTGGTTCATAGGTCGATGCTCAACCACTGAGCCACACCACCGGGCAGAGTAAGGTTCTTTATGAGGATGGGGATTCCCTGGGATGAATAAACGTAATAAGATGACTACCTGGCAGAGAGTCCTCTCTGCTCTGGGCGTAAGGGCAGTGCCGCTATCCGTCTTCAAACCAGTAGAGGCCAACACGCATAGAATTGCTATTACCTCGGGCATTGCTGTTCGACAAAAATACGTAACCTGTCGAAGGACGTCGCTGGAACAAAGGACGGAAAGGCGAGGAGCCTGCTGCCGCTCTCGAAAGATTCTAAAGAGGAGGACGCACACTTTTCCGTTCAGAAGGGCGGGGTGGGCCGGAGCGATAGGGCCGTTTTGTTTGCGTTTTGCTAGACTTGCGCGCAATTTTGCTCAAAGGAAATAAGATGATGTGCTCAGTGGTGGCAGGATCCTCGGCAACCCAACCCCTCGCCGGAGACACTCGCTACCAGACGTTTGTTATTATTATTTTTGTACGTCCATCCCCTTTTCTCCCACCCCTCCACCCCTTTTTTTTTTAGTAGTTTCTATCCTAATTCTTGTTGCTTACCTGTGATTATGGTTTCCATAATTTTTAATCGCCTTGCTGAGCTTTAAAGATGTGCTCTTCTTATTTTTTTCCTTGGATTTAGGTGCTGACTAACTAGTTGAAAACTAAATAATTTGAATGAATAATGAAGGAATGGATGAATGAATGGATGAATGAATGAATGGATGAGAATGGGCCGAATACCAACAAACAAGCCTTGTTTGCTTGGCAATGTAGTATTTATCTTCTCCGCGCTGCTGTGCTGGCTGATAGAAGGCTGGGGAATCGCGATTTGTTCGCTTTCTTCCATCCTCCTTCACATGAAGACATTTCATGTGAACAAGCTGTTGGCGCCCTGGAAACCGAACCTGCGGTCCTACTGTGCTCACGTGATACCTGGTGCCCTGATGAGTATGTTTGTCCCCTCTCTTCACCTCCCCCCCAACTTCCCTAGCGGTTGCGTTGTGTCCGTACTTTTGTCACAAAACCAGTTGGTTTTGCTCGCGTGAATCTGTTTCTGGGTCCTCTGTTTCGTGTTATCGATCTACCTGTCTACACCCGGGCCAGCTCCGTGCCGTTTTGCTGACTGTAGCGATATACTCCGTCTTGAAATGGACTAAAGTGAGTCCTCCCACTCTGTCCTCATTCCCAAAACTATTTTAGGTATTTTTAGTTCTTCCGCCATTTCCATAGGCATCGTAGGGTCATCTTGTCTGAATCCACAGAAATCTGTTTGGAACCTCACTGAGAATTGTGTAAAATGTGTGTAGCCGTTTGGGGGGAATTGACATCTTTACAGTGTTGAGTCCTCTAGGCCAGCGATGTTTCTCCACTTATTTAAACCTTCTTTGATTCTTATCCACAGATTTTATATATATTCTTTAGCATACAAGTGCGGTACCTGTTTTGTTCTATTGACACCTAAGTATCTCTCTTTTTTTTTAAAACTGATTATAAATGTTTACTGATTTTAACATGCTATTGTTACAAGTACAATTGATGTTCCTACGTTAATCTGGTAACCTGTGACCTCACTGAGCTCTCTTATAGTTCTAGAGTTATTTTTTAAAAACTTTTTATTGTTGTTCTTGTACGTTCTTCAATAGAGATCATTTTATCTTTTGCTTTCCTATCTACATGTCTTTTATAGTCTCTCCCTGCCTTGTTATGCTGGCTAGAACTTCCAGTACTGTGTTGAAAAGTAGCAATGGGGAGAGTAGACATTTTTTTAAAAAAATATATTTTCATTGATTTCAGAGAGGAAAGGAGAGACAGAAACATCAATGACGAGAGAGAATCATGGATCGCTGCCTCCTGCACGCCTCTTACTGGGGATCGAGCTCGCAACACGGGCGTGTGCCCTGACTGGGAATTGAACTGTGACCTCCTGGTTCATAAGTCGGCGCTCTGTTCAGGCACAAGCATCCCCCAGGACCGACAGTTTAGGGCACCAGGCGCCCGGGCGGCATGCAGGCAGCTCCGGCCCGTCAGTAGGTAGTGAAGACGTGGCCCCTGGTTCATTTTCCGAGCAGATGTGCGACCACCCCGTGGGTTACCCGTTTTCGTTGTTTATGGCGCGGCAGGTGTCTGAGCAGCTCTGTCCGGTTGATGAAGCGCTTGCCCTCTACACATCACGGCGTGGAGCCCAGCACGCGGTGAACCCTCATTGGTTGAGTCCTAAATAGGGAGGGACGAGAAAGTCCTCGGGAAAGAAGGTGCCGCGTGCAAATGAAGGCGATAACAGCAGGTCCTGGGAGGAAATTCCCTTCGTCCACATTGTACGGTCAATATTTGTTTTCTGTTGCTGTCGCCCCCTTAGGTCTCTCACTGGGTGTCCCATCTTTGTATATAAAAGCCTAATATGCAAATTGTCCCCGCGGGAGTTCGACCGGGAGACCGATCGCTCGCTATGACGTGCGCTGACCACCAGGGGGTTGTGCAGAATGAAGGAAGGTCCCGGCTGGCAGCCAGCAGCTAGGGAAGGGAGGCCCCGATCAGCCCTCATCACCAGCCAGGCCTACGGACCCTACAAGTGCGTGAATTTCATGCACCGGGCCTCTAGGTTGTGAATAAACTGACGGTTGACAGGAGAGATGCGGGGGCAGGGAGACACAAACACAGTCCAGATGCTATTTCTCTACTTGCTCTCTGGTTTGTGCATTTCAACCCGGACTCATGTTCTCATCCCAATAAGCCATTCATCGTGAGGAAGGGGAGCTATGCCATAGGACTCATGCGGTTGGAATGCGAGATGGGCGGGTTTTGAGTCCTGCCTACCCCCCGTCCAGTCCCTCCGTGTCCTGGAAGTGAACACGCCAATCCCGGACGAGCCATCGCATCCACCTCTGGTCGCTCACGTGGAGCCCAGAGGATCCTGAAGATCGTGTCCACGCCCTGAGCCTGGGAACCGCGTGACCGCAGAGTCCGCCGGCTCAGGAAGGAGGCGGCTTCGGTTCTGTGTGGTTTCCTCCCTCTGTCCCCAGGGAGCGGGCGACACCCGGGTGCTCTGAGAGGCGCCCATTCCAGGCACGGGGATGCTGGGGTTTCATGCCCAGAGGAGACAAGGCCCACTCTTTGCTTCTGTCTGACTTCTTTTTACGTGTTCCTTCCTGTGGGTAACTTCTCTTTCCTCTTCCTCTCTCCCTTTCCCCGTCTCTGTGCCTCCTCCCCTCTGTACGTCTCCTTCCCTTTTCCTTCCCTTCCTTCTCCTCCTTCCTTTCTCATCCACGTGGCCCGGGGACCCGCGCAGATGCAGCAGCGGCGGCGGCGGCACCGTGGAACTGGATGACGAGCCCCCGTGCTTGGAGGAGATCGACTACGGTCCCGACAGCAGCTCCGACCGGGAGGGGAGCTGCTCTGAGCTGGACCGGCAGATCCGGGAGTGGGCCTCCCTGCAGGACCAAGATGAGGGGGAGGAGGAGGAGGAGGAGGAGCAGGAGCAGGAGGAGGAGGAAGAAGGGCTGGAACTGGGAAGAAGAGACAGCCCATAGCCCCCAGGTTCATGGCGAGCTCCGTGACTGCAACCATTGGACGAGCAGCTGTGTTATTTCTTCGCCGTCGGACGCGCACACAATGTGGGTGCCAAAGCCAGCCCCTGTGAGCCCCGCAGCCCTATTTCTAGATTTAGTCCCGTTGCACGAAGCGCCGAGGCCAGTGGTACTCTGTCATGACGCCCTTCTGCATGTCCTCACGCGGACACGCGACCCAGGAGCCCGGTGTGCGTGCAGTCATCATGCCTGCTGCACCTTCTGCGTCCAGCGCTTTCCCACATGGCTCTGCTCTGGTCCGGGAATCCCACATCCGTCGTCCGCAGGACGGCATTCAGACTTCCTCCGCGACACACACACAGCTGTGAGGGGAGTGACGGACCCGGTTCCAGTCCATGCATGCAGGCGTGTCCCGCCTGCAGCGTTTCTGCTCTCACAGCGCGAAGAGCGCACCACGGCCAGCGTTTCACCGGTCACGAGGTCGAGAAGGTAATTTTGTGGAAACATGCGTTCTGGGAGGGAGAGAAGTCGTGCGGACTCGAGGTCGCCAGCGTGTGTCTCCGCTCCCAGCCGTCTGTGGTGTCGCCTTCTCATCATGGAGTGTGTTTCTGAGAGGAAGTGACCCGGGCAGGTGGCTGTCCGGGGGGCGTGTCCGGGAGCAGCAGGAACGCGGACTGTTTCCTGATTCGTCGACGTAACACATTGATGTGCTGCACCTGCACCTGCCAGGCCCTTCCCTGCGTTCCCCAGTCGCAGAGAGAAGAGACCCACTCTGTGTCCTCAAGTCGCTCACAGTTCAGACAGAGAGACGAACAAAATAACCCCCGTTTTATTGTAATTTAGCCGCACCTGCCATGATGGAGCTAGATAGAGGAGAAAACGGGGTCACCTAATGTAATGGGGAGGGCAGGGGAAGCCGACCAATAGGAGATGATAAGATAAGGCGATTCTGGAAGGACACGCAGGAGATTTCTGGTAAAAAGAAAAGCAAGCCCGGCCAGTGTGGCTCAGTGGTTGAGCATCAACCTATGAACCAGGAGGTCACAGTTCGATTCCCGGTCAGGGCACATGCTCAGGTTGCGGGTTCGATTCCCAGTATGGGGCGTGCAGGAGGCAGCCGATCGATGATTCTCTCGCATCATTGATGTTTCTCTCTCTCCCTCTCCCTTCCTCTCTGACATCAATAAAAACATATTTAAAAAAAACAAAACCATGCTAAGAACTAGGAAGAGTTTCTGCAAAGGCCCTGAGGTGGGGTTAGAGCTTGGAATAACATATTTTGTGGATGGGTTTAAAAGATGTGTTTGTATGTGGAGCAAGGCGTATGGCAGGAGTTGAAATGGAAAGATCAACATCGATCGGATGAAGCAACACACACACACGTGTGCACATACATGTGTACATACATACATGGGCGCACACACATACATGTGCGCGCACACGCACACCATTCCTGAGCCACACAGCTACCTCAACGGCCTCTTTGATTTTTCAAGCCTCCCATGTTTTCCTGTCTCCGAGAGGGTCTCCCATAGCATCACCTGGGCGTCCCAAGACACAGTTCACATATCACCTTTCTTCGGTCAGACCTTCCCTAGTCGCCCAGCCTGGTCACCTCACCTCTCCTCTGTGCCCTGGTGCACGGCTGGTACCCCCCCCCCGTGGCATGCTTCATGTGTGCGCACAGCCACGGGCCTGCTCTTACCTTGCTCCCTGTCTCTGCACCCTGACAGGTGCAAAGAGCTCCAAAGCGCATCTTCTTCCCAGCCTCCCACCTGGGCACCCAGGGTGTGACTGCAAGCCCACACAGTTCCCTTAAATCCCTCCCTTTCCCACCGGCCGTGGGCGGGAGGTGCAGAAGGGAAGTTGGTTTCGGTGAGAGCGCATCCGGCCTCGCGAGCTGGGGGCTGCCACGGGAGAATCTCCCCGCGGGAGACCAGCCCGCCTGGGAGCAGGGTGGCCCAGTCCTTGCCTGCTCTGTGCAGGTGTTTACATAAAGCTCTGAGAGGAGAGGGACCGAGCGTGCAAGAGCCTCTCCTGGGAGCAGCCTGCATCGAGGCGCTCTGGACCGAGGGCTCACGTCTGCATGGGCACTGGGCCAGCCTGGCGTTCAGAGCCCGGGAATGCCAGCCTGTGCCACGGTTTCCTCTGGGGCTCTCGTAAAAGGCTCTGAGCCGCGAGAACATTGGCCAAGAGCCTGACGCTTGGGTCTCAGGCTCACGCGGAGATTGTTGCCAAGGCAAGCCAGGTGCCGTTGCCGCTCTTTTGCTCCCTTGCCTCCACCACTGTGCCTCCTTCCGTGCTCGTTGTGAGGAAGGGCGTCCTCCTCCAGGCAGTCTTCCGGGATTTGACCCCGAGTCGCCACAGCATCTTGTAGAAAACCCTGCCGGTGGTTAGGTTTTGTTGCATGGCATTGCCTGGGGACATTGTCCCTGTCCCCACACCCCATCTCCCACCCACCACCCCCCTGCCACCATCAGACTGTCCGTTCTTGGACAACAATACGCTTTTGTTCACTCTGTGTCCTGAGGGCACAGCCCTGTGCCCAGAACACGGTGGGGTTTTACGCGCTACGTGCTGCAGGACGGAGATCTTCATTTCCGCTCCGAAGGCCTCCTGAGAATGACCTCCCGCCCGTTGCCGCAGTAACCTGTTAAACACGGATGGTGGAGCGGCGGGAAAGTAGGGCACACCCGTGCCCGCACACTCAGAGCAGCAAGCGGGCATCCGGGAAGCATCCCTCTCCCTCAGCCCCCTGTCTGCGCTGCCGTGCCCCCCTGCTCTGTAATTTTCCAGAAGCGCCTTCTTTTTTTTCTTTTCTTTTTTTTCCTCCAAACGGCCTGTAGAGGTCAGACAAGGGCCTTGGTTCCAGGTCCCGGACTGCCCCGTCCCCATTAGCATGCACCCCGGGCCTCCATCATTAGGCAGCCCGCCCTGCTGCCCAGAGGAGCGGAAATGCATTGACGCGGATCCAGCCGAGTGGGGCACGACTGGGGATGGACTCGGGCCTTGTTTGTTCTTTGCACACTTGCGACTCTGGCTCGGCGATTCCCAGTCAAAGGGACCATTGTCCTGGGCCCTGAAGCGCGCCCCTTCTGCTACGCTGACCGGCCAGTCCGCGGAGGCACCAGCTCACCAGCTCGTTGAGCTCGACTCTCTGCAAAAAAGAAATTTAAAAAAAATCTTGTATTTCTTTCTTTTTGAAAAAAAAACACAAATTATTTCAGAGAAGAAGGGAGAGAGATAGACACATGAGTGATTAGAAAGAATCATGGATCGGCTCCCTCCTGCACGCCCCACACTGGGGATCGAGCCCACAACCCCGGGCATGTGCCCTTGAACTGAATCGAACCCAGGACCCTTCAGTCCGCAGGCTGACGCTCTGTCCACAGAGCCACGCCGGCCAGGGCTGTTCTTGTATTTCTCACAGAAAACAAAGGGTGCGTGGGGACCGAGAGAGGAGCTCTGTGATGTTCAAAGCTTTTGTGTGTGTTTCTCGTGCGTAAGTGCGATTCGGAACCCGGAAAAAAACGCGTACGGACGGCCACGGGGCCGGGGACCCCGCTTGACATGTAGGAGATGATGCGTGTGTTCCCTGAGCCGCTTCCTGTCCACAGGAGTGGGCATCCGCCGAGGAGTTACGGGTCCCTCTGGTCCTGGGACGTTCGTGGACGACTTTGGGGACGGCCTTCATTTCTCCGAGCCGGATGAAATGTGAGGTTGCTGCTATTTCTGATCTTCGTGGGCGCCGTGCGTGCTGGCCAGCCCGTGAGGAACGACGCCAGGCCCAGGGCCGGTCGGCTGGCCGGCGTGAGGTGGCTCACACTGGCGCTCTGTCCCCCGAGGGCCGGGGGCCAGGCCTGCACAGTCAGCTTCTCAGAGCCCGGACCGATCCAGTGGGTACTGTGCCAGTGCCCCTCGGAACGAAAGCTTCCGAAATCGGGGCTGAAAATACAGAGTAAGAAAGAGAGGCACCCTGAGCAGCAAGACACAAACGTTTGGGGGTTCGGGTGGAGGGTAAATTGAGCCAGAAAACTTGGGGGACACGGTGAGGAAGAACCTTCATCCATTTTATCTGCAATTAGGGGCTGCGGTTGGCTGGGCTCTAGGGTTGAAAATGACCTTGCAAAGGGGCGTGGGGTGCAGCCAGGAGGGGACCAATGAGAGGCAGCAGGGGCGGGGCCTTCCCAGGCTCATCTCCTCTGCCCAGGGCTGACCCGCCCGCTGGTCGCTGTGTCTTTGTTGGTTGTTCAAAGAGGGCGTCCTCCCACAGTCTCCCTCCTGTCCCTGGGCCACAGGCCAGCTGCCCTCATCCACCTCGTCGCTCAGCTTGGAGCCGGCGACCTCTTTCCACACACCCGGGATTTCAATCAACACAACTTTTTTTTTTTTTTTTTTATATATTTTATTGATTTTTTACAGAGAGGAAGGGAGAGAGATAGTTAGAAACATCGATGAGAGAGAAACATCGATCAGCTGCCTCCTGCACATCCCCCACTGGGAATGTGCCCGCAACCCAGGTACATGCCCTTGACCGGAATCGAACCCGGGACCCTTCAGTCCGCAGGCCGACGCTCTATCCACTGAGCCAAACCGGTTTCGACTCAACACAACTTTTAAAAATATATATTTTTATTGATTTCCGAGAGCATTGGCCCCTACACAGAAGGCTGTGGGTTCGATTTCCAGTCAAGGATGCGTACCTGGGTTGCAGGTTCGAATCCCGGCCCCGGTCAGGGCCTGTGCTGGAGGCAACCAATCTGTGTCTCTCTCTCACTATCTCCCTCCCTTCCACTCTCTCTAAGAAAGTCAATGGAGGCCTGGCCGTTTTGGCTCAGTGGATAGAGTGTTGGTCTGTGGACGGAAGGGTCCCAGGTTCGGTTCCCGTCAAAGGCACATGCCCAAGTTGCTGCGGGCTTGATCCCCAGTAGGAGGCGTGCAGGAGGCAGCCGATCCACGATTCTCTCTCATCATTGATGTTTCTCTCTCTCTCCCTCTCTCTTCCTCTCTGAAATCAATTAAAAATATATATATTTAAATGTATTTTTAAAAAATCAATGGAAAAGTATCTTAGAGTGAGGATTAAAATAATAATAATGGCGGTGCTGTGAAGTACTCAGGCCTATACAGAAAAGTGACAACATAAACCAGTAATTACTGCCTGTGAGCTTATTCGAAAATGCTCACTCACAAAGGGAAAACAGATAATGTCATAATCTTTTAATTTTTCTATCTTCTATTGGCTGAAAATGGGACATTATCTTGTCCGAGGTGGGAAATGAGAATACATCCACAGCAAGGCAGCTAGTTCAGAATCAGAAATCAGCCCAAAAAAAAGAGGCTAATAAGCATGATTTCAACTCTCTTATTTTATTTTGGAGTGCCTTTAAATGCACGAAGTAATAGACTTAACCTGGGTGTTCACCCATTAAAATCACAGTGAAAGAATATCGTTCGGGTAACACAAGGCATAACAGGACAACAAAACGCAGGGATTTTCATGAAAACGAAACACTCAACCGAAGGCAAAAGACTGACAGCATTTAATAGCTGCCATTTTACATGTCAACACTCCGAGTCCTGCCTCTAAGTGACACGGAATATCAACCGCCGTCAAGTAGGAAATCTAAATCTATTTCCATTCATTACGCCAAACGAAATAAAAAGATTCACAGCAAAAACCTCCAGAGTGAGAAGCGGGTTCGGAGTAGAAACTTCAATAGCGCCATTAGCCACGCGAAGGATTTCAAAGGCGGACGCTGAAATGGAAAGAGTTGAGGGACTTGGGAGGAATATTAATCCTTTTATTATCGGAGCT